CCCCCGGCAGGGCGGGAGCGTACAAGGTGAAGTTTGGCTCTGAGTGCAGCGGCTGTAGGTGGCCTCGGACCCCCTCGCGCGGGGTCCCCTGAGGCTGTGTCGAAGAGTGTGGACCCTGGCCACCTAGCGCAGGAGCACCACCTCCAATTCGGGCCAAGGCCGAAAGACTCGTGGATAATTCTCCATCCCTTCACTCCCCACTATTCCCCTGCGAAAGCCAGAGGCAGACTCGCTGGAGGTCACTCAGGCTCCCCCTCTGCTGCTCCGGGTCCTGTGAAGACGTGGAAATAGGTGGAGTCTTACTCACGCGCTTTGTGATTTTCTGGAAGTGTTTGGCTTCTTTGAGAGTTGGACTTCTTCAAGCCTTCTCCTCCATGGGATCCAATGACATCCCTGTCGGTTCTCCTCCCTGCTAAGCCTTTTGTGAATTGACTGAATCCTAACTACAATCCCATGAGGTCAAAGCGACCACAGGCCCCATTTTACAGAAACTGGAGCACAGAGAGGTCAAGCTCCTTGCCCAAAGTCACAAAGCACTTGAGTGGCGAATCTGGGTATGAATTTAAAGCAGCCTGCTTTTTGGAAGGAGGGGAAGGCAGTGTCAAAGAACAGCCACTAGGGACCCGAGTGACCTGGGTTCGAATCCTTGTCCAGCCCACTGCACAACCTTGGGCAAGGCGCTTGTGAGCCTGTTTCCTCATGGGATGATTCCTACACTTTGATCTTTCCTTTCTGGGGCTGCTCCCCTGGGAGAACTTATATCCCAGCCCTCACCTTGACCTGTTGAAGGCATCTGAAGCTCAGCGGTCATATCCGGCCTGTGAGCCTAAGCTTTTCCACGACGTGCAGTTCATGGGATTCTTTGCAGACAAACGCCGGTAGTTTCAGGAGACACCTGCCATCCAGTGCTCGGCTGTGGCATGGGCGCCTCCCCCAGGTTCACCCCGTTCTCTGACTCAACAAGTGCACTCCCTTAATGTCCAGGGTGGAAAGGGTTACAAATGTTCCCAGATACTGGCTCTTATATCCTGTAAGTGCAGGCTGGGGTTGGTGGAGATCAAGTTCAGAACCAGGGGATTCTCAGAGGGAGCAACCTGAGCTAGGCCTTAATAAGGGCTCACATTTCAGGGCTGTGCAAGCGCCCTGCTAAGTGCTTAATACACAAAGTTTCAAAGTTCCCAGTACAGAGGAGGAAACAGAGGCTCACACAAGGGAAGGTACTAGCCTGAGGCCACCAACTGACCCCTGATATTCCCAGGACATTCCCACATCCTTTCCCATATCTCCCAGCTGTGGATTGCTTCCCAGCAACTTCCAGGCCCCAGTCTCCATTCTGCCCTCTGGAGAAGAGGAAGAAGCTGAAGTCTGCTGAACACCTACCGAGTATCAGGTCCTTGCCAGGCTGGGCACTTCCCGAGCACCATCTCACAGCCTGACTTCCAGATGGGGGTGATGGTGCCCTTTGCAGATGAGAAAACTGAGACTAACAGGATGATATTCCTTGCTGAGGAGCCCAGGGCTGGGTTTGAATGCCTGCTCTTTTTTTACTTGCTGCCCACAGGACCTTCAGCAAGTGACTCAAACTCCCTGCCTCAGTTTCTCCAACTACCTTCAAGGGTTGAGGGCAGCATTAACAAAATGAATAGAAGTAAAACATAACTGCATTGGTCCACAGTGAGTGCTCACTGAGTGCTGGTGATGGATATGACTGTTCTTGGGGGATATACTGTTCCTGGTGCCTCTGTTTCCCCTCCACAAATAGCGCTTCGTGGAATGTGGACATAGACCAACTATGGGCATGGGCATGGTCTGCCATGCGAAGTGAGAGATATCTGTGCTGGAGAAGTCCCCACCAATAGCACCCACCTGCTAGGGCCTGGGAGGGAGGCAGCAAGCTCCTGGAACGTTCCACGGTACCCCAAGGGACAGTGCCAACTAAGGCAAGGGTTGGGCAGTGCTGGGCTGCCCCTCCTGATGGTGCCAGAGGTGCTGGCTGGGTTCTGGCTTCTGTTGGCTGGTCAGCAGGCTGGTGCCAGCCAACCTCCCTGGCGCCTTCCAACAATAGCAGGCAATGCCCCTTGGCATCAGCAACTGAAACCCCCACACTGGGCACGTTGGCTGTACCCAGCCAGGGTGCCTGGGACCCCAGCCCTTCTGAGGTGGCCTGGCTAGCCCTGGGCAGGACACTGCCTCTCTGCACCCATTTCTTTAGCCTCTCAGGGATCTCAGGAATCATCTGACACAAGGGCTGTGAGCCAGGCTCAGGCACAGCGACAGGGCTTAATTAACCAAGGCCAGAGAGCCATTTGCCTAAGGTGAGGTTAGTAATGCTGTCAACAGGAGGGTTGTGGAGGCAGGCCGAACGGGATTCTCATCCCGCTGCAGCCTCTCGAATGCCAGCACGTCTATTTATCACCTGGAAAAACTGGACTTATTGGCCCTGCCTCTCAGAGAGGTGTTTGCAATGAAAAAGCATCAGTGTCCCTTTCCCAGGACCCTGGGCTCTTCCCTGACTGGAAGGACACATCCTGGACAGCAACAGCCAAGCCCGACTGGTCTCAAGTGGTCTCACTCAGACTCCCAGAGGCTGAGAGAGGTCAAGCAACTCATCCAAGAGCACACAGCAACAGAGCCACAGTCTGAACATGCTGCCCCCGCCCCTGACTTTGCAGAGGTTTCGCCCTCAGCCCATGTTTCGACATTATCAACAAGGACAGCAAAGATTTCTTAGAGGGGCGCTGTGTGCCAGGCATCCCTGAGCCAAGCCCTGCTGGGTGCTGTGGCCCTGGAAGGCGACACACCCAGCCCATTTTCAGGTTAAGAGACTGAGGCTCACCTGAGGTGGCAGAGTGGGCACTGGAACCCAGGTATGGCCAACCTCCATGGAATGTGGGGTCTTCAGCTGGGCGCAGGGCCACACCCAGCCTGGTGATGTCTAAACGGCCCTGAGCTGCACCCACTGAAGCTGCCCATTTTCACAGGCTAAGGTGGGAAGGACTGATAAACTGGAATTGCCCCTCCCTGAAGAACCTTGCATTGCAAGAAGGCTGGCCATGGGCCCAGGGGAGGGCACTGGGGCTGCGGGGCAGAAGCCTTCCCTCCAACCAGTCTGTGTACTTAATCTGTTCAGTGTACATTCAAAAACACTTTACAGGAAGCTGGAACCCAGTGAGGAGACAGGTGCCTGCCCACAGGGAGCTCATGGGCGTGGGGGGCAGACAGGAAAGCAGGTTAAGAAAGGAGACCTCAGATGGGGTCAGAGTCAGAGAGACGGCACAAGGAGTGATGGGACCAGGCACTGGGGAATGGCGGGGCGTCTCCCTGAGGAGGCAACATGTGAGCTGGAACCTGGTTCTAGGAAGGAGCTGGCCTGGGAGGGCCGGGGGAAGTGTACTCCAAGCAGCGTGCACAGCATGTGTAAAGGCCCTGAGGTGGGGAGGCAGGTGGGGCTGGAACCATGATTAAGAGGGAGCCTGGAGGGGCCGGCCCCGTGGCTGAGTGCTTAAGTTCACGGGCTCTGCTGCAGTGGCCCAGGGTTTCGCCGGTTCGGATCTTGGGCATGTACATGGCACTGCTCATCAGGCCACGCTGAGGTGGCATCCCACATGCCACAACTAGAAGGACCCACAACTAAAAAATATACAACTATGTACCGGGGGGCTTTGGGGAGAAAAAAGAAAAAAAAATCTTTAAGAGGGAGCCTGGGGAAGATGAGAGTGGGAGGTGGGCAGTTTGGTTTTATGGGAAGGGCAATGGGGAGCCATGGGTGGACTGAAAGCAGAGTTGCGGCAGGAATTACAGGGCTGGCATTTGAGGCTTCCCCAGAAACAGGCTGGCAGCACCCAGCCCCCATGTGACAGATGAAGAAACACAGGCTCACAGAGCCTGAGGACTGCTCCAAGGTCACAGGATGTGACCGACCCAGACGTCAAGTCAGGGCAGCCTGGAGCAGGTGCGGGATCCTTCTCCTACACCCTGGCTGAGTCCCCACTGAGGAGGGTCAGAGGTTCACATCAGCTTGGTTGAGCTGGAGGTGCCCTCTCAGCTGGGGGTGGGGGAGATCTGGACACCACAGGAAGGTGGAACCAGGTGATACCCCCCACAGCTCTGTGCACCAGCCAATCTCCACGGAAACCAGGAAGGAGCCTTCTGCGAAAGAGCTTGAATTGACATCAAGTACCGAACTCAGGCCCTCCTTGGGCTGGGGGTGCGAAAGACAGCAGAGGGTGGGGGCTCCAAGAGAGAGGGGCTCCTGATGTATGGGCTGGAGGGGTAAGGCACAGCATCTGGAGCCCACCAGGGGTCTGGAGGCTACCCTGATCCTGACTGGGCCACGGAGGATGCACAAGCTGCCAAGTGACCACAACATGACCCCTGAGTGTGACTGCAGAGAAGGAGAGCTGGGGTCTGCTGTGGCAAAGCACCTTGGAGAACCCCAGAACACTTAGGGGGTGGGGTGGGCAATGGCAGCAGCAACAGTGATGTCCATTCTACATGTGGGAAAACTGAGGCTCAGAGAGGGAAGGTCAAGCCACTCAGCGAGCCAGGACCTCAATGTGGCTGGACAGGGGGAGTACAGGATGGTCCTCCAGGGTGACCGAGATGCTGAAGCTAAGATCAGGGGCCTCCCACGTGCCCAGCTCTGCTCCAATACCTCTCCCCATTTTATGGAAGATCAAATCAAGGCTCAGAGAGGTTACATCACAAGCTCAAGGCCTCAGAGCTGAGTGGGGGCTGGATGATGAGCTCTCCAGCCCCTCTCAGTGACACGCTCTCAGAAACAGCGACCTCGGCGCCTGCAGACTCCAGGTTTACGCCAACCATGGCCCCAGGAGCCTGCCTGATGGAGGGCGATGGCAGATCATATATCCCAGGTCGTTCTCAAAACCCCTCCACTTTCCTCACTTTCCATGGCCTCCCCAAACATCTGCCCCACTCCTGTTCTCTGAGGCCACTGGCTACAGCCCCCACGCCCAGCTGCGCAACAGAACAGACTCCTCTGTCGTTCAACCAACAGTCTGGTCCTTTATTACTGGGCACCACTGGCTGGCTGGGGACCCCCAGAGATGGACGACCCTCAATCTCCGGCCTCTGGCCAGCAAAGCAAGGCATCTGTGAGCCATTTTATAGGTGAGAAAAACAGGAGCAGGAGTGAGAATGGACTTGCAGGAACAGAAGTGGGATCCCTGTCCTGCTCTGAGACTGGCCAGGATGGCTCCCACATTTCAGACTGTCCTTCACCCCCAAGCAGTGCTGAGAAGGCCCTTCTGGCAGGAAAGGACCTGGGGGAGGCAGGATGAATGATGCCAACGCTGTCAGCTGGTGAGGGGAGCAGGAGGAGAGGAGGCCGGGACCCAGAACTGCTTTCTGCTGTGCAGATGCCTCACCGATGCCCCCACTTACCCCCTATTCTGTACCTGGGGCCCATCAGAAAATACCTCTTGCGGAGGAAGGAATCTGGAGTGCAGAGCAGCAGGCATGGCTCTCCCCTCACTTCCTGAGTCACACGGCTCACCCAGAGTCACAGCCCAGACTGAGCCTGGGGTCATGGTGCCAGGTTGCCCTTCTGGCCGGTCCACAGCTCTCGGAGCTCGACATGGCAGCCCAGGTCCCGCAGGGCGGCCTTGGCCACATCCTCACAGTCTCGGTGAGTGGCACGGGCCTGCGAGATGAGCGCCTCAGCCCCCAGGTCCAGGAGGGGCTGTGAGAAGGCCTGGCTGCGGGCCACCAGGTTACGAATCAGCATGCAGGCCTGTTTCTGGAAGGGAGAGCAGAAAAGGAGCAGCTGTGAGGTGGCAAGTGGAACCCTGAGGAGGGTCCACTCTGACCTTGGGGTCCTCATCTTTACACAATGGGACAATGACGACTGCAGCCAACATTCAGCGGGTGCCTATGCTGTGACTCATCAGCCTGGCTCATCTGTACACTTCATCTCTCAGCAGCTCTGGGAGGCAGGGCTAATTCCTCCATCTTCCAGGCAAGAAAACTGAACCTGAGGGTGGCCAAGTGCTTGGCAGGTAGGGGCAATCCCTCAGGTGTGGGACCCTCAGTCTCAGAGCAAGATTCTCTGACGGTGGCAAGAGCCTGGTCAGGGGCCCCAGGCGAGGAGGGCAGCAAGACAGAGGGAAGAGCGGGGTTGTGCACAGGGCCCATCTGTCAGTTAACATCCTTACTCAGTCAACGTTTGTGCCTTGCCTATCTGCTGTGTGCGGGTGGGTACCGCGAAGCATCCCAACATGGCATCCACCATCAGCAGGAGCGCATGTGAGTTGCAGGTGAGGGGCTGCCTGGCCAGAGCGGTCTGGAGAAGACAAAGTGATGGGCGAGCCCACGGCACAGTATCCCAGAGGGACCAGCAAGAGCAGTGGTAATGGAGGCTGGTGAGTCTAAGGACCAAGGAGGAGGCCCCTGTGCTGGGAGGGTGCGAGGAAGGGAGCAGGGAGAGCCCTGGGGGGCTGCAGGCAGGAGCAGGGGCTTCAGGTGGGGTGCGTGTGGCCCTGTCTACAGGGCAGTTCTGCCGACTCCCCAGCAGTACGTGGGCAGTGGCTCCCACACACGGAACACAAAGGCGCAGCCCAAGGCGGGGCAGAGAATCTTCCAAAAGCACGAGCAGATCATCTGCTCTCCCCCGTCTCCTCCTCCTCCTTCCCAGATCCGTCTAAAGGGACTGTTAGGAAAGGAAAAGATCAAATGCCGGAAGAGCAAAGGAACAGGAAAGGAGACAGCCCTGAGCACAGCTTGGAAGATGGGAAGTAAATGCAGAACCACATGGGCTGGGGAGGAAAGAGATCCCACAAGGCTTGCGTCATGAGGGGACAGGGACAAGGAGGGCCTGCGTCCTGGCCCCCACATGCCCACAAGCCTCCTGCCCGCCATCCCCCCATGCCCACCTGCACGCCAGCCTCCTGTGGGTGTGCCTTCATGGCCTCCAGTGCAGCCAGGGCCCCGCCGCCCTCCACGATGACCCGGCTGTTCTCTGGCTTGCGCAGAGCCAGGACACACAGGGCCGCGCAGCTCTGCTCACACACCTGCGGGGTCAGTCATGGGGATGGCTGAGACAAGGCAGATGGACAGACAGGTCCTGGCCCCCTCACTCGCCCTGACCCCCTAGCCTCACCCTAGCCCTGACCCTGCTTGAAGAAATTGGAAAGTGATCGTGCAGGTATGGATACTGACCTGGGACTCCAGCCCCTCCACTCCACCTTGTGTGCCCCCTGGGATGGGTACCTGGGGGCTGGCCAAGTGCTGAGTCATGGCAGCCACGATGGACTCCGTCCCACCAGCACGGACAATGGCATCCTTCACATCATCATTGCCCGCGATGGCCCGCAGGGCGCTCAGCACTTGCTTCACAAGGTCCTGCACGGAGAGTGATGTGTGGGTCACGCCCTGACAGCCCCCCTCCCACACTGCACTAGGCACTGTTTAGTTGCTGGGTTGTGGGGGGGGGTGTCTCAAGGGAGGGTCTGGGGGCTGTTTCACCCACTGTCTGAACAACAAGTGGGGCCACCTTGGGGCACGCAGGCTGCACGCAAGAGCAGGGTTATTACTTGCTGTATAGAGAAGACAGGGGAGGCTCAGGGAGGTGGACCCTGTGGTTCAGGCCACCAGCACCCAGGCCAGGCATTTGGACGACCTTGACAACCCCACACACAGAGGGGGCATGTGGCTCAGGTCAGCAATCAGAGCACGGACCTCCCAGCCAGTCGAGTCCCCAGATGGGCACTGACCAACCTGGGTTGAGGACAGTCAACCATACACTGTTGGAACTGCTGACCGCCCCAGCGAGGGGCAGAGAGGCAGAGCTGAGAGAGAGACAGAGACAGAGACAGAGAGAAACCAAGCCCCCACCCCCCGACTGACCAGGAGTACAAGCAAAGTGTTTCCTCAAAGTGCTTGCTTAAGTCAGTTCAAATTCAGCTTTCTGCTACTTGCACAGGAGCCTGGCTGACATCATCAGCAAGACTGGGGGTAGTAGCACCCTAGCTGCCACAGGCCAGGCATCCCTGCCCTAGCCTGGGCACATGGAGAGGGGGTTGATAAGTGACTGTTAGATGAAGGAATGACAGGTAGGGGTCTTCGCCAGGTTTTACAGATGGGGACACCCAGGCAGCGAGGGGTGGGCCTCACTCAAGCATCACATACCTGAGCTGTGGTCTAGGCCAGCCCCCTAACACCCACTCCTGTTCCTCCCACTCCTGCTAGAAAATACAAAGGTGCTAAAGGACAGTAAGAGAGGGTGGGTGGGTCTGTTTTCCCCACAAACTTTAGTTCCTGCCTGCAGGTCAACAGGAAGTGAAAACCATACTTTGGTGCCGGGCTCAGGAGACAGAACTGGTATGTCCTGACTCAAGCTTGTCTGGCTGGCCAGGGCCCTCTGGGAGGCCTGGAGCCTTCCCCAGGCATCAAGAAAAATAACAGATCAAAAGCCAGGTGAGGGGGCTTCACCCTAAGATAGCTTTGGACGCCCACCTGGTGGTTGCTGCGGTCAGCCAGCAGGGCCACTAGGACACTGAGGCCCCCGAGGTCGACGACCATCTGGCAGAACTCGTTGCGCACGGCCAGGCGGGACAGGGTGCTGCAGAGCTCGCTCAGCACGCTGGGGTTGTCAGGGAATGCTGTGGAGATGGGGGAAGAGGAACTGCTGGGGTGAGGACAGGCAGAGAACCAGGCCTGGCTCAGAGCCAGAGGTCCTGGCAGGAAGCCTGCTCCACCGCGAAGTAGGCCCCTCTGCCTGGCGGGGTGGCCGCCTGTGCCAGGAGAGCCCCAGAGAACACCAGGGTTGCCCGGGCCTGCGGCGCCCCCTGCTGGCTGCCGGGGAAGACACGGGTACGCACCCTCCCTCCAGCCGTGTCCCAGATAAATTCCAGACCAAGTGATGATCTCAACTAAAAAAAGAGAACCGTAATAGCGCTATAATAAAACATCCGAGACTATTTCTATGATCGTGGGGTGGGAATGACCTTTCTAAGTGTAACAGGAAACCCAGAAACTATAGAGGGACACATGGATAGAGTTGTCTCAGGCAAAATTGAAAAGAGACACCCAAGACGAAGAGCAGAGGCATGAGGGAGAGGCCTGCACTGAGGCCCACCCAGGGTCGGGGGGTCGAATAGCCATAATTTATACAGAACTCTGGGATGGTCAGTTCATGTGTCCCCCTGGCCAGGCCATAGCCCCCTGTGACGCCATGAATACTAATCTGGGTATGTCCTAGAGATATTCTCTAGACATGGTGACATCCACGACCAGCTGACTTTAAGTGAAGGAGGAGACCCTCGATGGTCTGGGTGGGCCTCGTCAAATCAGCTGAAGGCCTTAAGAGGGAAACTGAGGTTTCCCTGGGGAGGAAGAAGCTTGCCTGTAGACCGTGGTGCTGCCCCCTGCCTTCCCCACAGATTTCAGACTCACCAGCCCCACAACCACGTGAGCCAATGCCTTGCAACAAATCTCTTTCTCTCTTTATATAACAAATATATACACACACACATAAACAGATATACATACATATTTACATCCTACCAATTCTGTCTCTCTGGTGGAACCCTGACTGATACAGGCTCCCATAAATAAATAAGAAAGATGCAAACTACCTCTCAGAACAAGGAGCCTTACTGCACAGACAGTTGGGACCTGTTTTCCCTGTCTCTGGAGGTACAGAGGGGAGACTGAGGCAGATCCACCTCTCGGACAGACAGGGCTGGAGACACACACACAGGCTTGGCCATGGAGGGGGAACTCATTCTTCTGGCACCTTCTGTGCACTGGACCCCAGTCATACCTTTTCTGGTGGGTGCAGTGGATAGTGGGCAGGGGCTTTGGGATCCATCTGTCAGCGCTGTGACCTCCTGTGATCAGCTCAGCATGGTCAGCTGGAGTCAGGCACATGAGTGTGCACAAGAATTTGGGGCCAAGTATGAACCAAAGTGTAAACCTCCACCAGGGACTGACCCCAGTGAGTGCTGGCAACACTCCCTCATCTTTGGGAAACAGCACCCTCACGTTTCCCTTTGGAAACTCTTCCTTCCCCTCTCTTGGTCTGTGTATCTGGACAGAGCTGAGCCCCCTCCCTTAATAGCTCCAGAGATGGGCATGGGACCTGGTCCTGGCCAATGGGTGCTGGCCTGGAACCCTCCTGGAGCAACCAGGACTAAGGACGTTGCTTCACTACGGCTACCATGCAGGTAGGACTAAGCCAAGGCAAGTGGAGCCTGGAGCCAGCCACGCCTGAAGCAGTCCTAAGCCCTGACTCTTACTCTTGCCACACTTGCTCCTACCTTTGGCGGCCTCAATGAGCACCTTCAAGCCTCCATTCTCCTGCACAATCATCTTGGCGTGGTCATGGGCGTGGCCAAAGGGCACACGGATGTCATCATCAAAGGTCATGATGCGGAGGGCCCAGCAGGCCTCCTTGACCACATCGGCACAGTGGCTGTGCCGGACAATGGCACCAGTCAGCAGGGGCAGCACGCCAGCCTTCACCAGGCTCTGCCGATTCTGCTCGTGCTTCAGGCAGGCATGGCGCACGCAGCGGATCCCAGAGCAGGTCAGATCAGCCACATCAGCATTCTGGGCCAGCGTGGCCACAAGCAACTGCAGGCCCTGGGCATCCAGGAGGTCAGGCTGGCCATCGGTCAGGGCTGACAGAGCATTGAGGGCCTGGAGCAGGAGGCCCTGGTCACCCACTGCAGCCAGCTTCCAGGTAGCAAGGAGGATGGGGTAGGCCCCCTTCTGGGCTGCCAGGAAGCGGCAGGCCTTCTGCTGCTTGCACTGCTCACAAAAGCGGGCAAGGTGCGCTGACACCTCCTGAGGGCCAGAGTGGGCCACGGACTCCTGGAGGTTGTCCAGGGCCTAGGGGACACAGGAGAAATGCCAGTGTCAGCTCAGCTCCAAAAGGGCCACAGCGGCAGTGCTGCACCCCTGTGAGAGTCCCTCCTTTGGGATCTAGGCCTGCAGTGGAAGTTCAGTCCAGCTGTGGCAGCTTCCACATCTGTGCTTTACGGAGCTTTGAGCTTCAGAGGCCACGTAGAGAGGGAGAGACCCAGCCATCTCGGTGTCCCCGCCAAAGAGCCATACACGAGCACAGACTCTTAAATGTTCCAGCCCTATTTGCCATTGCATGCGAGGCCCCAAGTAAGACCCAGAACCATCCAGCTGAGTTAGGTCAACCCAGCAGAATTGTATGAAACAATAAAATGGCTGTTGTTTTGGGTTGTTTGTTACTAATTTAGCACAATGCCATCTAGGAACCAAGGAAAAGATGCCCCTAACAGACGATGACGAGGTGATGTGCGTGGGATCACATGTGTAAGGTCAGCCCTGCCCACAGGGGCTGCCCCCTCCTACCTGCAGGATGTCGTGTGTGGGCTCCTGGGGTCCATCTGCAGAGACTCTGGGCGCCATCTTTACAATGTTGCTCAGATCAACCCCTGTGGGGGGTGGGGGAGTCAGGAAACAAGCAACAGCCATCATCCTTATGGGCCTGCCGGAGTCACACCGTCTGTCCCTTCAGCTGGGACCACACTACTCCAGAGGCCCTCGGGGGTCTGCCTAGCTCCCCACCCTGCCCCACTCATCATCTGGGCCAGACCCAGCAGCCATGTCCACAAGGGGATGTGTGGTGTGGGGGGTTCTTTGCTCCTCAGCCCTGTCCAGTCAATGGGAGCAGAGCAGTAGTGAGGCTGCACGCCATCACTGGAGTGAGGGACACATTCTGCCTGGTGGGCTCAGAGGGGAGGGGACCTCATGGCCCTTTCCCTTGGGGATCCCAATGCTCCTCACTCTGGCTGCATCCCTGCCCTCAGTGGTACCCCTAAAGGAAGCCCCCATTGTGCAGGACACTTCTGGGTGCCCCTCTAGCCCCTGTCCGTGTCTACCCCACTCTGTGCCCAGGATGCCGGCCTCTGACTCTGAAGCTAGACACCCGGGCTCCCTTGCCCTCCAGTGTCTGACTGGGTTTGGCTAATGGGAGCTGGACAAAAGAGCAGGGGCAGGAAGAGCAGGAGGGTAGGGTGTTCATCCCCAGCTCCCTGCCTCTATCACGTGACCCTCACCCTCACTGTTGGGGGGGGGTCCCTGTATGGCAGCATGGTCTCCTAACCCTGCCACACCACTGCAAACAGCCCCTCTGAACCACTCTCCACCACAGCCTGATTTGAGCATGTCACCTGTTCCCACAGGCTGGTGAGTGACACCCCCTTCTGCCATCACGAGCTCGAGCAGGGCTGTGGGTGAGGCAGGGAGCCCTGTTTCTCGGGAGGTGGTCAGGAAAAGGAAGTGATAATTAAAATGAGACCCACCTCAAAGGATCCAGCCCTGCAGATGTCTAGGTGAGGTCTAGGCAAGTAGAGGGTGGGTGCCAGCGAGGTGGGAGCAGGTGGCCAGCCTGCCTGTGGCAGAGCATGGAGAGGGTACAGGGCCTAGGCTCCCACGCCAGGCTAGATGGGGCCCCAGCAGGACATCACTCTCATGGTAAGAGTGGTGGACCAGAAGTGACTGTCAGGCAAAGACCCGAACCAGCGCTGGGACCAAAGCCACACCACCCTACCTTGGGATTCAAACTGCTCCACGGCCTCTTTCACTGCCTCCTCCGATCCCATCTCAAACTCCTCAATGTTCTCAAGAACAGCCGCATCGAAGGTCTCCTGGGTGATGCGCTTGGAGGCCATCTCCCGCCCTTCTGCGTGGGGCCGCAGCTGCCCAGCAGACGCTCTAGAGCTGAGAAGTTAAGGTGAGAAGAAAGCTTCACTGAGGATGAGAGGGCAGATGGGGGCCTGGCCACCATTTAGGGAGCATCTACCAGGGGCCAGAGCCCACAACCACCCCGGAAAAATTCTTACAACCTGGATCACAGGCCAGGGTGATATCCCAACAACCACAGAGCTTCTAAAGGTGCAGAAGAGGGCAGGAAGTTTACCACACTTTATCTAAGAAAGGAGAAATGCTAATATAATGTATGTCCTTATAGTGAGAAAAATAAATAAAATATGGATAAAAGGATATCTTAATATTATATATTAAAACATAATTACACACAAAATACATAACCACATAATAAAGTTACATATGTTTATAATATTATATATAGTATAGTATGTTTTATATATACTACATACTATAATATATAATATTATAATCGTGTTATTTTATTACGTGGTTATGTATTTTATGTATGGTTATATAATAAAACAATATTATGTTATAATAGTATACTGCTATAAAACTTCTAAAATAAAAATTAATAATAATAATAAGCAAATAAAAAAGACATCTAAGTTAAGATTAATAGAAATGGTTACCTATAAGAGGAGGTAGGGAAAAGGGTGGTGAGGACAGGGTTAGAAGCTGGATTATTTTCTCTCAATATACCTTGTTTTACAGGTTTGAATTTGGAACCCATGTAAATTCTTTACGCAGTTAGGAAAAGAAATAAACCAATGGAAACCAAAATAAAAATAAAAGCAATCGCTAAGGTTCAAGAGCAGAATGAAACCCATGAATCCAGCAGCGCATCCGCGTGGATAGGGTCACTTCATGTGGTCTTCAAAAACAGTGATGTGACCATACATTCTTAGTGGGGTACGCCCCAAGGACAGAATGAACTGCAAAAGAAAATCTTCAACTGTTTTCAGTAATCCTGTTATTGGAAATAGTAAGCAATGTTATTCCGAAACTAAGACAGATGCAGCAAATAAGTAATAATGTTTGTCATTAGGAACCAGTATAAAAGAAAAAAGATTCTTACAAAAGAAAAATCAAGGAAGTAAAAACTCAGGACTCCTAAATTTGAACTGAAAATACCAATATGAACTCATGCTGTATTTCATCTTAAGCAAACAAAAAAACCAATTTTCTAGTTACATCAACTGAAAATGCCTGGAGGAAATGATACCATAGCAGCAGTGAGCACCCCAAACACCAACTGTGGTCTGTAAATACCATCTCCTGTGAAGAGTCAGGGCTCCCGGAGAAATGGCTGACTCCAGGACCAGGCAGGAAACAGGCCAGAGGGGCTGGAGCATCTTGTGAGAGCAGTATGCAAGGAAGCTTCTAAAGACCATCGGGGTCAAGTCAAAAGACTGAGGAGCAAACCCTAAGGGGTGCCCGCTAGCTAAAGATGGAACAAGTGAGCATTAAAAAAACCCAAAAACCAATAGATATCAAAATCAAAATCTATAAACCCAGCTTATTCTTCTGAAAACTGCCAAATAAAGAACCCAGCATTTATCCTGCCTCCCTCGTACAAGTGGGCACAAGATTGTAAAGACAGAATGACAGAAAGTTCTGCTTTGTAGATCAATTCCAGCTAATTGACCAAGACAGACCAGGTCTAGATAATCACGGCCACAGCTGCAAAACACGAAGCGCAAAACTGACAGGGAACCTGACAAGTGGACAGTACCTGCGTCCACTGCGTGATTTCACGTCATCAAAAGAGAAACCCAGCACCACCTGCCTCCTGATAAGAATGAAATGCACCTGTGAAGTCATCTTGCTGAAAGCTCAAACCCAAATCTGACCACACATCCAATGGAACCTTCTGTGATGAAAAAATGTTCTGTATCTGTGCTGTCCAATGGGGCAGCTGCCAGCCCCATATGGGATTGAGCAGTTGAAATGTGGCTAGTGCAACTGAGGAACTGAATGTGTACTTTTATTTAATTTTAATTCATTTTAATGTAAATAGCCACATGTGATGCGTGGCTACCATATTGGACAGCAAGGTTCTAGAGCTAACGACTACTTTACAGGAAATTGAAGACACAGAACAAGTCAACCAACACCACGGGGATGTGACCTGCAAAATCTCGACTGGGAAGGGAACTTCAACTACAGGACAAAAACCTAGGGTTTTCAACAAATAAATCACAAAGAAAAAGAAAGCAGGGGTGTCCATCAACAGATGAAGGATAGCCACAACTAGAAGGACTCACAACTAAAATATACAATTATATACTGGGGAGATTTGGGGAGAAAAAAGCAGGGGAAAAAAAGGAGATTGGCAACAGTTGTTAGCTCAGATGCCAATCTTTAAAAAAATAAAACAGATGAAGGATAAACAAAATGTGGTCCACCCACACAATGGAATATTATTCAGCTATAAACAGGAATGAAGTTCTGACACGTGCTACAACGTAGATGAACCTGAAAAACATCACACTGAGTGAAAGAAGCTGACACAAAAGGCCACATAGTGTGTGATCCCATTTACAGGAAATGTCTAGAACAGGGAAATCCATACAGACAGAAGGGAGGTTAGCGGTTGTCAGGGGTGGGGGAGGGAGAAAGGGAGTGACTGCTCATGGGGACGGGGTTTCCTTTTGGAGTTATTGAAATGTTCTGGAATTAGACACTGGTGATGATTGCACAGCTTTATAAATATACTTAAAATCACTAAATTGCACACTTTAAATAGGTGAATACTAGAATACGTAAATTATAGATTAAAAAAAAAAGTACTTTTCTGTTTAAAAACAAAAAAACAAATGAAACCCAGCACAGGCAGTCTTGAGGCCAAGGGACAGAATCAGCAGTTAGAGGACCTGCTGAGCTGGGGAAGTGCCTTCTCCTCTGCACTGATGGGGCAGATCACGGACAAAACGCTCAGCAAAAACAGTCAGTGATCTCAACAAGAAGGTCTCCAGGGTGCAAGCGGTTCGTTAACACCGAATATGTGCCACCCTCTCTTTTTAACAAAGGGGGAACAGGCCTCTGGTCCAGAGACTAGCAGAGGTTAACAACTTTTTTCATTTTACTTGTTTTACTATGTCTACCTTGTCTATTGTAGTAACACTACACTTCCATTTTGGAATTGCATCAAGTTTCCACTTAAAATACATCACTTTTTAAACTTATAGTAAAGTTGCAAGAACAGTACAAGAACACTGTATGTCCTTCTCCGAGCTTCATCAACTGTTAACATTTTGCCAGTTAATCTCTCTAGGCGAGTGTGTGTGTGCCTGCAAGTGTGTGAAATGTAAGCCATTTGAGATTATGTTCCAGGCATCACATCCCTTTCCTCATAAAGACATCAGCATGACTCTCCCAAGAAAAGGACACTCTCTTACACATTCACAGCACAACTGAAATTTAACACAGGGAATCGAACACTGATACAATACTATTTTCTAATATAGAGTCCCTGATCGACTTTCTTGATAGTCCTAATATCATCTTTTAAAACAATTTGTTTTTCTCTGGTCCCAGGTCCATTCTAGAATCACACGTCATAGAAAGGGTATTCGGGGGACAAAGGGGTACTAGGGCAGCAGTAGGGGAATGTGGCAAAAATCCACGTGCAATTTGGGAAACAGGCCACTATAGTGTACAGGTCTCTTTGCGGAGGTGGCACAGGAGGTGAATATTCCACTGGTGTTTGTGCAGATACTCAGGGGGTGGTGGCGTGGGGAACAGGCTCCAGGGCCAGGAGGGGGACTCAAATCCCAGGCCCTCCACTTAACCTCACATTAGTCAGTTCCCTCATGTGTGACACAGGGATCAATACAGAATCTACCTCAGGCCTGCAGTGAAAATTGGGCTGGTTAATTACTACATAGGCTTTGGCACAGAGTAAAAGCTCCTTTCCTTTGTTGTTTAAGAGGGAATCCAGCCAGTTTATTGGGGGAAGCATCAGGGCATCAAACACCCCACCCCACTCCCTTGCAGATTGTCCCCACTCCTTTCTGCCCCAGAAGAACCAGGAGCCAGTTTAGGGGTTACTAAGGATTTCCAAGGTCAAACGTGAAGGAAAAGAGTAAGGATTTTCTGTTTATAAGATGAAGAGTTTCTCAGTGGGGCACCTAGGCTGGTGTGTGTGTGAAGGGTGTTCCTGGCCAGCTCAAAGGGCAGGAGCTTCCCAGCTGGGGGCTGCTGGAGGAACTCTGCTCCTGGCTCCGCCACTAGACATTGCTTCCACCTCTCTAGCCATGCTCCAGACCGGAGTGGGCCAAGGGTGAGTGGCCACTCTGTCACAGAGGCACAGTCTTAAAGGGGAATGTCATTACACCTATTTTACAGATGAAGAATCTGAAGGTCAGAGAGGGGAAGAACCTGAGAGAGGTCACATAGGCAGTAAGAGGTCTAGCCATCACACTATCCTGCCTCATTAACACTTTCCCTCCACCTGGACCCTCTGTGGAGCTTCCGTTAGCTATTCCAGGCCACTTCCCCCTGGGAACCCTCCCTGGTCACTCAGGCAGAACCTGTGCTCTCTGGCCTTGGCTCCCCCACCCCCATGAACCTCCCTCTGCCTAGTCCTGAGCTCCCTGAGCTGGAGAGGTCAGTGTCTGGCTCTGGGACCACCCCTAAGGCAAGTCTCCAGGGTCCCCTAGGTGCAGCACAAGGCTGAGGGTGGTGGGGATGAAAATACAGACCTGGAGCTCATGAGAAAGACAGTGCCTGGAAATGGGCATCTGGGAGCCACATGGGGAACAGCCCAGGCCAGGAGAGGGGAGAGACAGCACTACCAGTCCTGAGATGCATCCAACATGTCCTGGGGGAAGGGAGTTAGCAAGGCCCCCAACTGACAACCAGTTTCCCTCTCTAAGCCAGGGTTCTGCTCATCAGGAAAACAGTGCCCTGACATGCCACGGACGCTGAATGACTCTTCATCATCTTCCATCTGCCACATCCTCCCTGGCTCAGGCACCATCCTCCTGGATGGGTGGCGTCACCTGCTTCCTCCCTGCCACACCCTGCGCCTCTATTTTCCACACAGCAGCCTAAGGGAGACTTGAAAGCACAGAGGCCAAGTCACTCACCTGCCCAAAATCCTGCAGCGGCTTTCCAACTGTCTCAAGGACAAAACCCAGTCTCCAAACCAGCACTTTCCCTACCTAGACCTTCTCACCTGTGCTTCCCCACCTCTTTCTCATCCTTCCCAGCTATCCAAGGGACATTCTTTATAACCACTCTGGTTAGAGCAACCCCCACTCTCCTATCGCATCACTCTCTTTTATCATTTACATATTACCTCTACTTGGAGCCACACGGTGCATTTATCTATTTGAGGGTGATGGGATGAAAGTACAGACCTGGAGCTCATGAGAAAGAGAGCCTGGGAATGGTCAGTCTCCTCACCAACGAAATGTAACCTCCATGAGAGCTGGAGCCCAATCTGTTTTGTTCACCACCTTCCCCCACTGCCTAGGATGGGGCCGGACACACAGCAGGCACTCATGACATAGGCTATGACTGAATGAGTAAATGAATGAAAAGAAAGCGGAGGCCAGGAAGTGGGCGATTTTGTTTCCCAGCGGCTTCTGTAAGAGTATTTCCCTCCCTAAAACGAAGTCCCCGAGGGCGGCGCCACAGTCACCAGCCCGCCCCCGCGGCGCCCACTCCCTGCCCCGCGCGTGAGGAGGCTCAGCAGCCGCCACTTCTCACCCGGTCTCCGCGGCCACGTGGGGAAAGGGTGGGGCTCGGGGCTGTCACCGGCGGCACCGCCTCTGGTCCCTTCCGGCTGCCGTACCCGCGCAGACGCGCTGGCTCCGCCTTGCCTCGGCCTTCCCACAGCAGGGCGAACAGCTCCTAGGGTGACCAAAGGTGACCGCGAGCGCAGGTAAAGCCAAGAGGTCCAACAGGTGGGCGGCGGCGGCGTCTCTGCCACCTTTTCCGGGACGCTCACGGTTGGTGCCGCCGCCGCAGGGAAACTTGTCGCTTCGGGAGCGTACTCCCTGAAGAAGCGGGCAGCGCGCCTGCGCAAGAGGGCTCCGCCGCGGCCACCTGCGCCTGCGCACAAGGGCTCGGCGGCGGCTTGCGCCTGCGCGGTGCGGCGCTGCGGAGACCGTTGGCTCATTTGCATGTCCCCGCCTCGCGCGGCGGCGGCGACGGCGGCGGCGGCGGCAGCGGCGGCGGCGGCAGCGGCGGCGGCAGCGGCGGCGGCAGCAGGGGCAGCAGGTGAAGAGCCTGAGGCGGCGGCGGGAGTGTCTCCGCGCGCAGTGGGCTCGGGGTGAGGCCCGGGCCCGGGCGTCGTCGGTGGGCGGCCCCAGGGGTGGGGGGCTTAGGCTCGGCCCCGAAGGCCCCGCGTCTCCGCTATGGCGCCGCGGGCTCGGCCCTCGGGCTGCGCGGTGGCCACGGCCTGGTTGGGTCGGCCTGGGGGGCGGTCTGCGGCTTTCCGGGCCCAACGCCCCCTATTCTTCGTCCTCGGAGGCGGGTAGCAGGCGGGCCACGCCCGACGGGTGCATTCGTTCAGTCGTTCATTCATTTCCCCCGAACTCGGAGCGGCCCCGCTCTTGTGGCGATAACCGCGGCCGGGCGCTGCATCGGGCCCTTTGCCGTTTTTTAATTGGTTCGGTCCCCGTAGCTGCCCATTCCATAGATGGGGTAACGGAGGCACAGCAAGGGTAGCTCACTTGATTTGATCCGGGGCCTCCTGGCCCGGAGACCCTGCCTTTCGCTACAGAGAACAGGGGGCGCCCCAGGAAAAGGGCTGAAAGATGGGAAAAGGGAGTGATGGGTATAAGAAAGACTATAACGCGGGGGCAGGCTTGGATCTTGAGGTTGGAGCTTTCAAGATGAAAGGATGTCTTGGCGGTTAAGGATGCCGCCGCTGGGTTCCTCACTGTTGCTTCGCAGTCATTTTTACTCGGTCTTCAGGGCTTTGTCCCCACTCCTAGTGTCCTGTTTGCCAGGTTCCAGTCCGGGCTGGCTGACCTTGGATGGGTCACGTAGCCTCAGTCCTCCTTTTCCTCTTCGGAAAAATGTCGTTCACAACAGGACCCACTTCTTCAGTGGGTCGTTGCAAGAAGTAAAGGGGAGTCCCTGTAGGGAGTCCCTTCCTTACAACAGGACCTAGTACAGAGCAAGCTGTCACTAGCTCGTTGTCACTAGTCAGGGCTTCCTCCACTCACTCATTGAGGGGCTTCTCTCAGAGGGGAGGTCGGTTCTCAGAGCTTCCTGGCTCTGTCTGTGAGATGGGAAAATAGTGATGATGTCTTTCCTAACCACAATTTGCAAGGGTTATGGTCCTGCTTCCCTGCACTACGTCCAGTGATGTGTGTTGCTTCGTGCAGTCTTCAGCGGCCCCAAGAAGATAGGACTGCTTTGATAGAGCTTGTAAGGGCTTCCGAGGAAATGAGAAGCAAAATAACTTGTCCGAGATCACTATGCTTGTCTTGTTCCTTCTAAGCCAACACACATCTGTGAGCTTGGTGAGGGCAGAGGCCCCCTTAAAATAACCCGACTTCCCTCTCAAGTACCGTGTGGGATTATGGATCACTGCCTTGTTCCTTTGAGGATTAGGTGAAGTAGAAAGAGCAGGCTCTGGGAGCATTAGTTGTCATTCTTAGTGTCTTTTTTCCACCTCTCACTACAGGTTAGAGAAACATGGCAGCAAGGCGAATTGCGCAGGAGACTTTTGATGCTGTATTACAAGAAAAAGCTAACCGATATCACATGGACCCCAGTAGTGAGGCTGTAGGCGAAGCTCTTCAGTTTAAAGCTCAAGGTAAATTAAAATGCTTGTTTTTTGAGGGTGGAGGATTTCAGTGCCTTGGGCAGAAGTATGCAGCTTCTTTTATTTGTTAAGGGGAGATAAAGTTTTCTTTGGGTCCACTTGTCAAATCATTATGCAGAAGTAGGTATTGTCAATATCTGGAGCCTCTACTCCCCAGGCACCCTCCCCCACCTAAAGAAGGCTTCTTGACTCCATCTCTTGGCTCCATCCCCACTACAGCTGCCCAGGTTTGGCCTGTATTCTTGTAACAATCTCCTCCTGAACAGTTCTCAGCTTCTGGCTTCATTCCCTGCAAACCTGTCCTCCCCACAGATCTATTAATGCCAACATAGCTGGGCCAAGGCCCTGCTTGGACTCTTAGGGCTCCTCATTTCAGGGTTACATCCTCAGACAAGTGCAGGAGCATCCAGGTAACAGTGGTGTGTGCAAGACAGGAGGCTGTGACAGGGGGCGCCCTGTGGAGTTGCCAAGTGCAGGCCCTGCCTGAAAACATTCCCTTGGGAAGGTTTTGAAACATCATGCCAGCAGAATAAAAAATGGTGCCCACACAGATGGCAGGAAGACGTGGAAGTCCCTCACCACTGCACACGAGGCTTCTGACCCTCACTCCCTGCCTGGGGCTTCGTGCTTCAGCTCTGCCGTCTGTTTGTGCTTTGAATCCCAGCTCTGCCTGGTAATTCCCTCAGGCACTAAGACCCAGCTCACAGGAAGGCCCTGCAGGCCTTGAGGTTGATTTGGTTGCCCCTCCTGGCACAGGCGAACCCCCGGGGAATCTGCTGGGCACCTGCCTCCTCCAGTCCTCCTTCAGCCTGTTGTTGCTCTCCTCACTGCTGCATTAGCCCCTGAGCCATCCTTGCTGCGGGAGAGGCTTCCTTAGTGTTGGTTGAATGAGTCTAAACACTTGGATGGAGTAGGGATAACTGTTATTACATGCTTTGGACCTATAGAAACTGAGCCTCAGAGGCTGTCTCTGGGTTCTGAGTTTTCAAAATTACATAAGTAGTAATTTTCGGAAATTACAAGTTTTCAAAAAATTTGTGAACGTACAAAAATTAGGAAAATGTTCCTGTTATAAAAGATTGGAAGGATTAAGAAATATTTAAGAGTAAAACATAAAAAAGCCTTTCATCTGCTTCCTTACACCTCAGAGGTAAGCATATCTGTGGTGATTTGTGCATCCTTCAATTCTTTTAGTGATATATTTTTGTAACCCTGAACACTTAGGTGTGTGTCTATGTATATACACGCATACCTATACGTATACGTGAATACATATGTATGTGTATATGGAGATTTAAATCTTGATTTATCTTTATCTAGAGACTCAAACACCAATACATATCTTAGTTACATCAAGAAAGATTAGGGAGGGGGAAACTAGAATCCCAGCAGGATGCTAGACAGTTCTAGAACCATCTGTCTGTCACAGAGCTGCATGGTCCATTGGTCAGGCTTTCTCTGTCTTTCTGCTCTACGCTGAACAGTTCTGGTGCCTTGATGCCTTGTAAACCAAGGCATCAGAAAATCCTGTTGTGCAGAATCCAGCCACCGCTCTACTCTGATGCTGCCGCCCTGACCAGGCCATCAATACCTGGATTACCCCAGTGGATTCCTTGCTGGCACATCCATAGCCACTCTCATCCCTTTTGGTCTGTTCCTTACACAGCGGCCAGTAAGGTCATCCCTCTGCTCAGAACCCTTCTGTGGCTTTCTGTTTCACTTAGAGAGAACTCCAGCATTCCATCAAGGGCCTGAGTTGATCTAGTACCCGCCTTTTGTTTGCATCTCGTATCATAGTGGTTCCCTAACTTTTCTGCATGGTAGAATCATCTGGGGACCCTTTAAGAACCCTGATGCCCAGGTCACACCCCACCTGATTCATTAAGTCAGGGGACTCCAGTGTGCAGCAGAGTTTAGGAGCTGCCTTCTTACAACTTTGCCCCTCGTTCCCTCTGTTCCCTTCTGGCCATATTTGTGCCCTGCTGGTCCCACCTCAGTGCTTTGTTCTCACACTCCCTCTGCCTGGAAGGCTTCCCCCATAACCGCAGGGTCTGGCCCCTCATGCCAGGCCTCTACTGCTCAGATACATTGTTGTCAGAGCTGCCCTCCTTGACCAGCCTATCTAAAAATGGCTTTCCCTCTTCACATTCCCACCGCTTAATATTTCTTATGGGCACTTCCTTACACCTGATGGATTTTTGTTCACTGTTTGGTTCCTTCGATTGACGAGTCCTGGAGAGCAAGGGCTTTGCTGTCTCCTTTTCCTGCTGTCACTTCAGTGCCTGGAGTAGGTGCTCAGTGAGTACCTGTTGAGAATTTATACAAGGTTCTGGCTTCCTGTGGCCTCTCGGCCCATTACTTCCGTACTCCTGGCATCTCTCTCTCCCTTTCCATTTCACTTTTTGACTCGGTAATAGATTCTGATTCAAAGCTAGAAAGAAGGTTCTCCATGAAAAGTCTCTCTGAGGCCCACTGTTTCCATACCCCCATAGTTCCCTTATGTTCCTAGCTTCTTACAGAGATTCTTTATACATGAACAAGCAAATGCCAATTTAGCTTTCAATTTTCCTCATTTCTACATGGAGGAGGACGAAAACACGCAGTATTCAGTTTCCATTGTAGCCTCTCTTGATGTGGCTTATTTCACTTCTGCCTTTCTCTTACCTGCATCAGTCTCTGTTTTATTCAAAGGATTGGTTGGCCCAGTGGACCTTTACGAGGGAGCGTATCAACCAGCTTTGGGTCAAGTGCTCAGCTGTGGCCCGGTCAGCTGTGGTGGGTACAGTTCAGAGTGGCTCCTACCTCAGTGGCACTGTAGGCAGAGAGTTCCTCGTGGGAGGCAGGGAGGATGGGAAGAGCCATGTGCTGTGTGATAGAGGTCGAAATACAAAGTGATCTAGTCGCAGTAAACAAGTCTAGGTTATTTGAGCACCAAACACCCTTCCCTGAGTCTAAAAGAGGCCTAGTAAACCAGACACCCGCAGAGCCAGGGCAGGGAGTCTGAATGAGAGAGGGGCCCTGCTGCCCAGCCTTGGGACACTGACGTCAGGGCAGATGCAGGCCCAGTACTTGTAGGTCTCTGTTTTTATAAGGAGTAAGTCCACATTTTTCAGGGAAACCACACACATTTTAAAGGTTGGCAACAAATACGAATTTGTAAAATGCTCTTAGGCAGATAAAGCACTGCAGCTGGCTGGTGGTCTGTGGCGTGTCCGTTTGCAGCCTCAGGTTTAAAGTACCTGTGTGTTTCTTTTTGCATCTTTTATTTCAGATCTTCTAAGGACAGTCCCAAGAGCCAGAGCAGATATGTATGATGACATTCACAGTGACAGCAGATACACTCTGGGCGGATCTGTAGCTCACTCTCGAGAAACTGCCAGGGAAGGCCTGAGAAGTGATGTATTTCCAGGACCTTCCTTCAGATCAAGCAACCCTTCTGTAAGTGACGACAACTACTTTCGTAAGGAATGTGGCCGAGATCTGGAATTTTCCCACCCTGACTCCCGAGACCAGGTCTTTGGCCACCGGAAATTGGGACATTTCCGTTCTCAGGACTGGAAATTTGCACTCCGTGGCTCTTGGGAACAAGACTTTGGCCACCCAGTTTCTCAAGAATCCTCTTGGTCACAGGAGTATAATTTTGGTCCTTCTGCGCTACTGGGGGACTTTGGCTCTTCCAGGCTGATTGAGAAAGAGTGTTTGGAGAAAGAGAGTCGGGATTTCGACGTGGACCGTCCAGGGGAAGCAGACTCTGTGCTCAGGGGCAGTGGTCAAGTCCAGGGCAGAGGCCAAGGTCTAAACATCATTGACCAGGAGGGTGCCCTCCTAGGAAAGGGAGAGACTCAAGGTCTGCTCACGCCTAAAGTGGGGGTTGGGAAACTTGTCACCCTGAGAAGCGTGAGCATGAAGAAAGTACCCACTATAAATCGTATTACTCCCAAAACTCAGGGGACTAACCAAATCCAGAAAACCACTCCAAGTCCTGATGTAACCCTAGGGACAAACCCAGGTACAGAAGATATCCAATTCCCCACTCAGAAGATCCCTCTGGGGCTCAATCTGAAAGATATTCGGCTCCCCAGAAGAAAGATGAGCTTTGACCTCATAGATAAGTCAGATGTTTTTTCAAGATTTGGGATAGAAATAATCAAATGGGCAGGATTCCACACCATAAAAGATGATGTTAAATTTTCCCAGCTTTTCCAGACTCTCTTCGAACTCGAAACTGAAACCTGCGCTAAAATGCTCGCCTCGTTCAAATGCTCCTTAAAACCAGAGCACAGAGATTTTTGCTTTTTTACTATCAAATTTTTAAAGCACTCTGCTTTGAAAACACCCAGAGTCGATAACGAGTTTTTAAACATGCTTTTAGACAAAGGTGCTGTGAAGACCAAAAATTGCTTTTTTGAAATCATAAAGCCCTTTGACAAGTACATAATGAGGCTTCAAGACCGGCTTCTGAAGAGTGTCACACCCCTGCTCATGGCCTGCAATGCCTATGAGCTGAGTGTCAAGATGAAGACCCTCAGTAACCCCCTGGACTTGGCTGTTGCCCTGGAGACCACCAATTCTCTCTGCCGGAAGTCTTTGGCCCTTTTAGGACAGACGTTTTCCTTGGCCTCTTCTTTCCGGCAAGAGAAAATCTTAGAAGCTGTTGGCCTCCAAGATATAGCTCCATCTCCTGCCGCATTTCCAAACTTCGAGGACTCCACTCTGTTTGGGAGAGAGTACATCGATCACCTGAAGGCCTGGCTGGTTAGCAGCGGATGTCCACTCCAGGTCAAGAAAGCTGAACCCGAGCCCACTCAAGATGAGAAAACCGTTCCTCCTACCAAACCCGAGATTGAAGCCAAGGCTCCTTGTGGTTTGAGTGATGGTAAGGAAAGCAGCGAAAGTTTCTATTTGTTGTGATTTGTTGTTTTCCATGTTTTCTTGTAACATTTCTTATTCTCTTTGAGGTTTTTACACAGAGGTTCTTTAGCCAACTATAGAATCAGAATTTTAGCAGAAAACTCTGATTGGCCCATATACATGTCTTCCATTCATTCTGTAAACATGTTAGAAATCTGTCTACCACAGAAGTCCTTAGACATTTTTGGGTCACAGACTCCTTTGGGAATCTGATGAAAAGCTGTGGCCCTTGCCGGGAAAAATGCACATATATTTGTACACAATTTTGCACTATCTGGGGGTTTGTACAGTCCTGCAGCCAAGGTTAAGAAGGCTTGTTCCAACAGGTGTCCCCCTGCCCCTGCCCTAGGTATTACCAGAAGGAAGAGTAAACACTGGGCACTGTCTCTGAGTCGTCTCCAGGCTCCTGAGGGAAAGAAATCACAAAACTCAGCCCCTCCTGTGCTGGAATTAGGGGGACATAGGAGAGGCCCCAGCCCAGCCTGGGGAGTCACGGAGGCCACAGCAGGCCATGTTTGAGCTGTGCTGAGAGACAGACAGGGATCAGCCAGTCAGTCCAAGTGGTGGAGGCACCTTTCCACCTGCTTGCTTTTCTAGACTGGCTAAAGGTCGACAGATAACTTAGGCACAGCTGGTAACCTGGTGTTAACAAGTCGATTTACTGGGGAGAGGAAAGGCCAAGAAAGACGTAAATAGAAATAGAAACAACTGGCTGTTTGGTGTCCCTTTTCCCTCCTCCTTAGCTCCCAGGATGGATGCTCTCTCAGCCCAGACATCCCAGCGGTCGTGAGCAGACGTAGTGGCCATGTGACCAGCAAGGAAGCACTTTTCCCCCTTTACATTAGGAAGAAGTCCCTTTTCCTCCTGATGGAGTTTTCAGCTTCTCTTGCCCCAGCTGAGTGGGGAAGTCTCATTTGTTCCTGAATCTCTTCACTCCTCTACCCCCTCTCCAACCCCTGACTGCATTTGGCACTAGGTAGGTTCCACCATGGGTGGGTGGCCACACCTACTCCTGGAGGGGGAGTCTTCCAGAAGTGGGCTCGTTAGGGCTGCAGCGGAACCCCTCTTCCCCACGCCCCACAAAGTGGCAGAGTGGAAAGTCAGTGTAAGAACAATACTAAAGAACTTTGTATGAAGGAGGGAAAAGTCGTCCATCACCTGAAGTTGCCCACCACTGTCCCCTGCCATGCTGCTACACAGGCTCTAGTCTGCTCTTTTACAGGCTTATCAAAGGCCCTTGTATGTGTTTCTGCAGCATTTGCTACATTATGATATTGACCTCACGTGAATTACCTCACCTTTCCCTTGATGTTGGACTCATGCTGCCTTTTACTAGAGGCTTCTGAGGCTGAGCAGAGCTGAGTTCCCTTGTAATTGGCATCTGCAAGCCTCGGCTGTCTGGGCAGCAAGTGGACGGCAGCAGTGCCCATGTCTCATTACTTCCATTACTGTTAGAAATGCTGGGATGAGATCTTTCATTGAAGGTATTGATTATGACTCTTATTTTTATTTTTTATTTTTAAATCCTCCTTTAAAGGCTATGGTGTCAGAAGGAGGGTTTCTGGGCCAAAGGCTGGGACCCACTTTCCGGCCCTTGCTTATAGTCACCTTCTCTAGAGATGGTTGTGGTGATCCACAAATTGTGTTGTCTTGGAAAGCTTCTGACTTTGAACTCTTACTCTTCTGTAAAATCATGTAAAACTAGCAGTTCTATAAGATGTGAGCCAATAACAAAAAAAAAGGAAAGCAATTTCAAAGGGGAAATATTTGCAATAACATGACAATTGAAGGATCAATTTATCCTGTGTAAAGAGCTCACAGTGGTAAACTCACAGCTGCAACTCCGACACGGGGAAGGACAAGACAGTGCAGTTACTCCACAGAACAAACTGGAAGACCTCTCCAGTTCAGGGGTGATTTTTTTTTTTTAAACTTTTTTTAAGATTATGGTAGTTTACAACCTTGTGAGATTTCAGTTGTACGTTATTGTTAATCATGTTGTAGGTGCACCACTTCACCCTTTGTGCCCTCCCCCGACCCCCCCTTTCCCCTGGTAACCACCAATCAGTTCTCTTTGTCTCTATGTTTAACTTCCACCCATGAGTGGAGTCATACAGAGTTCATCTTTCTCTATCTGGCTTATTTCACTTAACATAATATCAGTTCAGGGGTGATTTTTATTAAGTAAACTGATAAGCCATTCCGTGCTATTAAAACTAGCAAACATCAGAAAACTAAGCAACCTTATTATTTGAGGACACAGGTGCTCTTCTGTGTTGCTGGTGGCATTGTAAGTTACAATTCATATGGAAGAAAATTCACACTTTATGTTTCCTTTTCATATGTTTAGCAAGTATTTTTTGTGAACACTTATCTTGGGACCATTGACTTTTAATTGGGAAATTTTTCTTTCTAAGTTTATGTGTGTGTGTGTGTATGTGTCTTCTGATTACAGAAAACAGATGTATGTTTATTTTTTATAGATAAAGCACAAAGAAAATGAAATCCCTGATTAATCTAGCACCCATAGATAACCTCCGTTAACTTTCTGGTGTATTTCCTTCTAATCTTTTTTCTATGTATCCGTATTTATGTATCTTCCCCCTCTTTCATATTGAGAATCACAACCTAGGTATTCTCTTTACATGTTTTATACCTAGATACATTTTATATCTTTATAGTTTCCTCTTAATAATGAGAGCATTCAAGTTAAGCTACATACCACTTCCTTCTATAGAATATATATACACACATTGTTTTGCCCAGTCATTGTAAGCTTGTGACTGTTTCTGTCCTAGTGGTTATGCTGTTAAAGCTTTTGGGAAGATATTTTACATACTGGTCTCTAGAATAACACACCACTTTCCTTTTTTCAATGCTGATCTCTTGTGAATGAGGATTTTGGTGTCTGGTGCCTGCTTAGGCTCCATTCTAAGCCACTGACTCTGTCCTGGTCTTCCCAAGCCCCATGTGGTCCGGTGTGTTTCTCAGAAAAGCCCTTCTGTGTGTTCCAGCAGTCCCCCAGCGAGCAGATCACAAAGTGGTGGACACCATCGACCAGTTGGTCACACGTGTCGTCGGAGGCAGCCTGTCTCCCAAAGAGAGAGCTCTTCTCAAGGAGGACCCTGCTTACTGGTAGGTCTAAATGTCGGCCCTGCAGATGCCTCCCATAGAGCGAATCCCTGTGGTAGAGCACATGGCAACGTTTGTGTTGCTCTCATGGTGTCCAGAGCAGAGGAGATGATGCCTATTTTGAGCAATGGTGTCTGCCAGAGGAAGGAGCGTGAGGGTGGGTCAGGTTTACCTGAGTAGGTTTACCCTGCTGCAGACCTGCCGTGTGGCCGTCTCTCACTCAGGCCTGGAGCTCCTCGCCCTGCCGTGCTGGTTTAAGGAGGGGTGAGAGGTGTGTACAGAGTGCTTGTCAGTTGAAAAGTATGGCACAATAGCTCTTTGTGTTTTATTGCTACTGTTTGCTTAACTGTCTTCTCCTTTTGCCTTATTGCCTCTTCACATGAATAGAACAACTTTTTTAAATTAAAGCTTTTGTCATAAATACAGTACTTATTAGAGAAAGTAAAGAGGAGCAAAGTCAGGGGAAGCCACCTGGTGCCCACCGACAACCACTGACATTTTTGGTATTTGCTTCCAGTCTTTCTGCTCACCATGGGCTGTTTGGTGTTTTTTGTTTTTAACGTAAGTGTGATTATGCTACGATATAATACAGCCTCCTCTTTTAGATGACAGGGAAAAATGTGTTCCCTACTCTTTGTAAACATTAGTTCAGACACTGTGTTTACTAGTCCGCAGAGTCGTGGTCAGAGTTTATGTAGTCATTTCTTTCTTGTTGGACTCTGAAATGTTTTTGATTGTATGCAATTTTTAATTTTTTTCAGTGCATAGCTTAATGCATTACATTTTCTTGTGTGTTTAGGATGATCACTAGAGTAGATTGGAGGAAGTGGAAAAGTTTTATACTTTTTTTTTTAATATAAAAGTGGCATATGCCCTTTGTAAAAGAGTAAAAAGACAACGATGTAGTCACTCAGAGACCCACCACTTTCCTGTAGTGTGTCCTGTGTTTTACAGTTGGCATAATTGTCCTTGTTATCAGCGATAGCATGCAATTCCATTGCACACAGGTGCCATACCATACTTGACCATTGCCCATTGGTGGATTCATAGATTCTATCTAGTTTTTTCCTGCTATCAGTAACATTTCGGTGAACAATGTTTTGCTTGTATTTCCGTCTGCGTTTCTGGCAGTTTATTAGGATAATATCTAGGAGTGAAATTGCTGGGTTAAAGGGGAGGCTCACTTTAGAGGCTTTTGATCTATGTTAGTTTCTCAGCTGCAGCATTATTGACATTTGCGACTGAATCATCCTCTGTGGTAGGGACTGTCCTGGGCATTGCAGGATGTTTAGCCACATCCTTGGCATCTACCCGCTGGGCACCAGTGGAATCCACCATACCAGCTATGACAGCCAAAAATATCTTCAGACACTGCCTGGTGTCCCTTGGGTACAGAGTTGCCCTGGTGGAGACCATTGATCTGTATCATTAGGTTACTTTCTGTGAGTGATTTGTCCCCATTGATTGACACTCTCACTGCCACTCTAAGTGTGCCATTCCCTCTCCTGAGTGTTTGATTTAAAGAGAATTTCATACTGTGATGTTCTACTTTGTAACTTTGTTAATTAATGAGATTGCATGTTCTCTCATAGGACATCTAGTTGTAGTTCCTCTTTTTTTTTTTTTTTTTTGAGGAAGATTAGCCCTGAGCTAACATTTGCTGCCAGTCCTCCTCTTTTTGCTGAGGAAGCCTGGCCCTGAGCTAACATCCGTGCCCATCTTCCTCTACTCTATATGTGGGACGCCTGCCACAGCATGGCTTGACAAGTGGTGCGTTAAGTCCGCAGCCAGGATCCAAACCGGTGAACCGTGGGCCACTGAAGTGGAACATACAAACTTAACTGCTGAGGCTGTGCCACTGGGCCAGCCTCATACAGTTCCTCTTTTTGAGTGATCTATTTAGCATTTGTGTAGTCAACATTGTAACCATGCTGAACTCAGGATTCCTGTTGTCATAATTACTAAAGATGTTAGAAAGGTGTAAGTTTCCATGAAGAGTACCAGAGCTTTGTCTTAACCAGCATGATTTACCAGGAAAGGGTTGGAACTTATATGGTTTTATTTTTACAGAAGTCTTGAATTCATCTGGATTATTTTCATGTATAGAATGAGGTAGGCATATAACTTAAAATTTTTTAAAAACCCAATAACCTAATTGTACCAGCGTTGTTTATGAAATACTTTTATTTAGCAAACACTTTTGTTTTCTGTGCATGTGGTACTATTCTCAGTTCTTTACTGATTTAAGCACTAGCTGGCCAAATCCTCAAACAGCCTTTGGAGGTAGGTATGTTGCCATCCTTATTTTACAGAATAAAGGGGCTCTTGCCTCAAGGATGTACAGCTAGTAAGAGGCAGAGCTGAGATTCATGTCCAGGCTGTTGCTCTCAGCCAGTGTGTATTCTGAAGGAAGGAAGCTAGATAGCCTCAGATTGACAGATGAAAGCACAGACCAAACCTTCTAAGTAAGGTGCCATTAGACTTAGAAGGCCCAGGGGCAATTTCCAGGTGATTGACAAGGTGATTGGATTGGAGGGAGAGGGGCCCTGAGAGGACTGGAGGCGTGTGCCTCCGCCCCATGACTACTGCACACAGCCCAGCAGGCTCATGATCACTGACAGCCGTGGGTGGCAGATAGAACCACAGCCAGAGTTATGTGTGCATATGGGCAGAGGGGGTACAAAATTAGAAATAAGCGTTTAACTAGGAATCAGATATTTGAGGAAAATCAGCATCATGAAGGAGAGTCACCACATTCAACAGAGCTGACACCTGAGAAGACAGAGTTACTGTAAGAAAAAGGAGACTTATAGTAGTCCCCCCCTTATTGCAGTTTCACATTTCAGGATGTGAGTCATCCTTATCCAGCCTGTTCATGCTGTATACGCCACCCACCCGTTAGTCACTTCGTAGCTGGTTATCAGGTCGACTCTCGCAGTATCACAGTGCTTGTGTTCAAATCATCCTTATTTTGTTTAATAATGGTTTCAAAGCCAACTTTATTATTAGTTACTGTTATTTATTTATTATTAGTTATTGTCTTACTGTGCCTAATTTAAAGGTTAAATTTTATCACAGGTATGTATGTTTAGGAGAAAACATAGTATACAGTTAGGTACTATCCACAGTTTCAAGCACCTACTGGGGGTCTTGGAACGTATACCCCAAGGATAAGGGGGACTACTGTAATCTAAAAATGTGTTTGTGTAACTAGTAGTCTTAGGTGTATAATAGTATATTGTATCCATGAAACAGGAGCTACTTGTTATGGGAAAAAACCTATTAAGGATCTTGGAAAAGAAAAATCTGATTGTTGAGATAAAAATCTCAGTGGTTGGGAGATAGAATAAACCCGGATGAAGAGCAGGGAGCTGGACTTAAGACTTGATTGCCCATGAACTCCTTCAGAAGGAATTACCCAGTGACTATGAGAGAGAGAGTGTGCTGTCAAAAAACAGTGATAAGAAACTAGTAAGCTTAGGTTTTTGGTATGTATGTTTAAATTCTTAAAGTAGTACTTATCTGTGGTTTACCAGAAAAATCCATTGAACTAATCAGAAAAAACAAAATGTTTCTGCTGTGGCTGGTTCCCATGCTAGTTCCACTCCTTGGAGGCAGTCACTTTTTAGTTCTTTAAGCTACTTCTCACACTTACCTCCGTATCTCTTGATGATAAGCCTATGTTGCTCTTTCAGTTTTATGCATTATTGTTGACACTACCAAGATAAATGAGGATTTTAGCTCACTCTCCTGTCAGTGTTTAAGGAATTCTCAGTGGTTGATCAGAAGACCCACTTCTTGTTGGGCCCCAATGCAAATAGGTTCTTTTTATTAGTGAGTGAGTGAAAGGTTCAGATCTTCAGAGACAGATCTAAGAAGAGTTTCCATTATCTTCGCCTTCCGAGATCCAGCAGAGATTTGAGACCTCCGCCTCCCCCCAAGGAGGGGCAAACATGCGTTTGTTCACAGCTGAGCCTTGTGGACAGAACTGACCACAGCCTCTCACCAAGGCAGCCTGCTCCTTCTGTGCACTAAAATGTCAGTAGTGCAGACAGACACCCACTACGACTTTGCTTCCTCATTTGGAACACCAGTTGGCGGTCTTCCTCTAGTCTCTGTGAGAGCCTGCAAAGAAACAAACCTATAGAATGGTCCCGAAAGTGCCAGACATAGAGCTGAAGGAACATGTCATGCTTTGTTTTTCCCAGCTTCTGAATTGTCCCCTAGGAGTGGGATGGCCCTGACCTTTGCTGGACCATGCTCTCCAGGGAGAGCCCAACAGGTCGACATGTTTGCAGACTCAGGGAAAAGCAGGTGGCCAGCAATCCCTCAGCCAGCCTCAGCAGGATTGTCCAAGTGCCCAGAAGTGAGCACAAAATCTGAATAATTGATGCTTGGGGAAAGAACTCTAAAATCCCAGATGATCTAAATATGCAAGGTGGCTGGGGGGAAGGAGGGAAGTGGGTGCTGGGGCTCTTGTCTCGTTCAGAATGAGGATATAGCTAGTGAGTAATTCTGGATATTGACAGAAAATAAGAATTTAATGTGTATTGATTAGCCATTAAAGGCTTGGAAATGGGATTATAATTTCTGTACCACTATGGGCAGGGGAGCAAAAAAAGAAATTCAGTCCAATGAAAAGCAATAAAAGAAAAAAAACATGAAGAAAGAAAGGCAGACAGGAAACAAGTTTGAGTACATTCAACCTTATTAGTAATCCATAAGTGTCCTGTGGGTTGACGCTACCTTTACTAGCCAGAGACTTGGGTTTAGAAGCACGAGCTGTTGCTTCATCTCAAAGATACTTAAAACACAAGGAGTGGAAAACAAAGACGGAACATTACATACCAGGCAAATGCTACGAGAGAGAGAGGTGTGGAAATGTTCCTTTAGATCAAACAGAGAAAAGCATTCAGAGGGGTAAAAGAGATTACTAACAAGGGAAAGTCATCAGAAGCTACAACACTTGGGACTCTCCATGCCAGAACCACAGAGCTTTGAGCTATGTAAATAAACAGCATTTAGAAATAGAAGAGGCATTGTTAAGTCCTTACCATGGTTGAAGAGACTTGACTATATTTCTCTGAAATGGGTAGATGATGTCATCCAAATATGGTTGTAGAGGATTTAGAACACGGCAAACGGGCAGGAACAGATAAAGAGGAGGTGCTGATATCTCTTGGGCAGTTAACAAATGCCAGGCAGTAGTCAAAGCATTTTCCTTATAATGAAAAGTGTGTGACTCAAGTCTAAAAACAAAACAATGAAGTAGCTGCTGCTTATCATCTGCACATCTTACAGATGAAGAAACTGAGGCACAGAAAGTTTCAGTAAAATCCCACAGCTAATAAGTGGCTGCACTGGGATTTGAACCCAGCAGGCTAGAGTCGGGGGGTATTCTCTGCTCTTGATATTATACTCCACTAGAACTGGGGAAGATGGATTTGTGGCTGATATCCTCAGACTGCCCTTGGCATCAGACCATCCAGGGGAAAAGGATTTACATCGAAGGGATCTCGGTCACCTGGGTGATGACTCCACTTTTGCCCTGGATGAGGGGTGGCCTTGCTGGGGCTGCGTTCAACTTGAGAACCTGAGTGTCCGTGTTGGCCATGGTTCCCTTTTGCGGGAACTCTTGCTTGTTAGGGTACAGTCTTGCAAGATGCTGCTGTTGACCCAGCAGAGGGTCCAGGGCAGTGGAGCAGCCAGCTTGCAGCCTGTTTCCTCAGACTCAGCCAGACCTTGGCTGTGCAAATCAGCAGGAGCTTTGTATGGAGCTTCCCACCAGGGACACGCCATGTCAACATGGTGCTACTAGCACCCTGCTATGCGCTGCCACCTTGCTTCCAGTTGGCTTCTGTCATTGATCATGAGGAACTTCATCTAATATGTGGCCTCAATGTCAAACAGTCTGAAAGCCACCTGAAATATTGCTGTTCTTACCAAACAACATTCATTCTTCTTTAATACAAACTGAAATTGAACATTCACAAAAACCTGTTATGTCTGAGGTCACACAGAAAATTGTAGCAATCCCAAGGAAGGCAGATCATGTGGGCCACATTATAATGCGTAAAAGTCAAAATCAGTAGTAGCCAAAATAAAACATGCTTCTAAATAACTTCCAAGTGAAGAGGAATCCAAAGTGAAATTAGCAAATCTTCAGAAGGAAGTAGCAGGGAGATCACTGGACCCCACGCACATCCACAACGACACTTGGGGTGAAGGTGCCACCTTGGATGCGTTTACCAGAAGTCAAGAGTGAAGACAGGCTTTCAGTACATGAAGATAGAAGGAAATAGTGAGAAAGTCCAGACCCTGGAAGAGAAGGGCTAGTAGAGTTGAAAGAAGGTGCTAGTGAAATGGAAAATGAAATCAATGATGTGAAAGTCCCCCTCCACACCCTTCTGCATCCCAGACCCCAGAGCAAATTATTCAGTTTGCCTTATGTTCTTTCCACCTATGAAAAAAGGAAATAGACGTGGATGTGTGTACACCGAGCAGTTTCATATGGTGTTATCACTGTTGGTATTCTTCTGTAGCTTGCTCTCCACTGGCCATATCATGGATGTCTTTCTGGGTCAGTAAATGTGACTCAAACTCCTTCTCTTTTCTGTGTTGTTCTCGTTAAGACTTTGGCACGTGATTCCACAGTAGTGGCATGCTGGCCTCAGTAATGCAGTTGAAAGTTCACTGAGTGCCCACCATGAAAACAAGGTCCAGGGGCAATGCTTGCTATGTGCTGGTAGCAGAGTGCTTCTATGGCTCCAGGGTGACTGGTTTGTGTTTTGCGGCCACCAGGAGCTGTGAGCTCCTTCATGGCTGCTGATGACAGAAATCAAGGAAGAATCTCAACCAGTGCTCAGTCAAAGCGCCTGGTTGCACAGTGGTCACTCTGGACAGGAGGGTAACCTGGGCCTGGCTCCTGGTCCTCGATGGAGCCGGTGGAGCCTCTCCAACAGCAGGAAGGGCGCCACTTGGAAAGTGTTTGCAGAAGTCTATTTGCAGCAGCAATTTGGTCATGCTGGTGTTTTAACAAATGTTCTGCTGTGCCTGTTTTGTTTTACAGGTTTTTGTCAGATGACAGTAGTCTGGAGTATAAATATTACAAGCTGAAGCTAGCAGAAACACAGCGCATGAGCCAGACTTTGCCAGGAGTGGATCAGAAGCCAATGGCGGCCGAGTGTGCAGTCCGAGCCATGCTATATGCTCGAGCAGTCCGGAGCCTCAAGAAGAGGCTCCTCCCAGGCCGTCGGCGGGGGCTGCTCCGAGCTCAAGGGCTCCGGGGCTGGAAGATGAGGAGAGCGACCACCGGGACCCAGACCCTCCTCTCCTCGGGCACCAGGCTGAAACACCACAGCCGGCAGGCTACAGGCTCATTGCAGGGAAAGCTGCCCCAGCCAGATGGAAATGATACTGCCAAGGACTGCCCGCCAGACCCAGCAGGACCCTCTTCTCGGGACCCCAGCCCAGAAGCCTCAGGCCCATCCCCCAAGCCAGGAGGAATGGACGTCTCTGAAGCCCCTCAGACCTCCTCTCCCTGCCTGTCTGCTGAAAGTTGGTGCTCACTCTTGTCTCCCTCCTCTGGACCCCAGTCCCAACTCTCCAATCTCCAGGGGTCTCTGCAGGAAGGGGGACAACCTTGGAGGTCTGGGCTGGGCAGCAGGTGGTAGCAACAGGGACCTGGCCCAAACTGCTGTGCAGGGAGGCACTTTCTCTCCTCTTCCCTCCTCAAGGGGGAGGCCTGTGAGTCTGTACCACCTTCCTCCTGTCCTGAGGGTGGAGCTGACGCAAAATGCTGCCCTGTGACTCTGCACCTCCCTGCAAGGTCCAACTTCTGGCCAGCAGAGCGTGCCACGTGCCTGTGCCTGGGGCTTCAGTCCTTGATCCGTTTCTCTCTGTTCTTGCCTGCTTTACATTCCAAAGGGCTGCCCTTGTCTCTTGTTATGCTTCCCCTTCCCCACAGTCTCTGTGTTTCCCTCTTCGGGGTTAACTGACCTGCAGTTTCTTCTGTTTCTCCTGGCTGTAACCTTCTCCCTCTGCAGTAGGCCTCCTCCTCACCAGTGCTTCCCCCTCACCACCAGGTGGGAATGTAGAGGGGGAAAAAATCTGCATGGCTGCTGCATTCTCTAACTGTTGCTATACAACGAGCCACTTGAAATTGTGACTTCAGTCAGAGGGATCTAGTGTTGCCCTGAGTCTGCTGAGCTGGGCTCAGCCCACATCTATGTCTGCAGGAATGGCTGGTTGTCTGGGGCTGTCAGCTGAGGTGATGGGGGTGACTAGGCCACATGCCTGTCACCCCTTAGCAGCCAGCCTGGGTTTGTTCACCTGACAGTCAGAATTGGGCCTCCAGGAGAGGTAGTGGAGGTGCTCAAGGCCTCTGAGGCCCAGGCTCCACACTTTGCCACATTCTGCCAGCCAGCAGGAGTCCCGGGGCCAGCCCCAATTCAAGGGGAAAGAAGAGAGTCGGTCTCTGCTGGACAGAGCTGCAGAGTCATGTAGCAAAGGGCGAGGAGACAGTGAGGGGACACAAGGGGCCATCTTTGTAATCAGTCTCCAAAGCCCCATGGGTATTCACATGGGAAGTGGCAGCTCAGAACCAATGCATGATAGTTGCTTTGTTTTGTAGTTGACACGAAGACAATGGAGACTGCGGAGAAACTGGCCAAATTTGTTGCTCAGGTGGGACCAGAGATTGAACAGTTCAGCATAGAAAATAGCACCGACAACCCTGACCTGTGGTACGTGCCCTTCACACCCTTTTGATTTGAGTATGTTCAGCCCACGAGTGTCCTGAGAACTCGCAGCTGGCCTGGCAGATGCATCCTGTCCAGGGGATCACCCCGGGATGAGTCATGGCTTCACTTCTGCTGAGCTCAGGGCTGTGGGGGAGAGATGTCTGTTCTGGACTGTTGGGGGAACCGGCCCTCATCTAGGCCATTAGGAGAAGCTCCCGGCAGGGATGGAGAATAACTAAGCTGGATCCGAAGGCCAAGTGCGAGTTGGCCAGGGAAAGGGGAGAGAGTGCTCTGAGCAGAGGGATGGCTTCCCCAGGACCTGAGCAGAGGCAGATCGGTGGCAGCAGGGGGAGGAGGGCATGTCCTTGCCCGAGAGCCAGAGGACGAGGGGGCATGGTCCCTGGTCACGCAGCTGCTCTGGACCCATGAGAATTTGCTGCCAGCTGTGGGCAACAAGCTCTTCCATGTGGTGATGGCCTGGCACCCTCATGCCAGGAGGGGGCGCCGTTACTCTGTCCTTTCCTCAAACTCAACGCCACACAGCCCAGAGGCAGAGGTGACTCTGCCTGTGGGGATGGATTCTCCTCCTTCAGTGAGAGGCTGCCTGGAGGCCGAGTGTTCTTATTACTGAGGCATAACCCTCTGGGCTCCTGCTCTGAGCTGATGGGGTGCACCTGCTGTGCAAGTTGTACAGTCCTCTCAGGGCTCTGGATCTTACCCTGTTTCCAATGTGCTGGAGAGTCATGCCTTAGTCTAATTAAAAATATAGTTAAAAATGTCACAGGCCGGCCCGGTGGCACAGCGGTTAAGTTCACTCCTTCTGCTTCTCGGCGGCCCAGGGTTCGCTGGTTCAGATCCCAGGTGCGGACACGGCACTGCTTGGCACGCCATGCTGTGGTAGGCATCCCACATATAAAGTAGAGGAAGATGGGCACAGATGTTAGCTCAGGGCCAGGCTTCCTCAGCAAAAAGAGGATGACTGGCAGTAGTTAGCTGAGGGATAATCTTCCTCAAAAAAAAAAACAAAAGTCACATTTCCTAGAGCATTTCTGGGATGCAGTGGTGACAGAGCATGCTGTTCCAGCTTGTTTGGGACCTTGAATGGTCCCAAACGACTCAAGACCCTGACCAGCCCTGGAGAGTGCTGAGAGCCTTGCAGGCGCTCAGCCTGATCCTGCCTTTTATAGGCCTGGTGACCTCAGGGGCTGCTGGGCCCTGCAGACCTCAGAGTCAGCCTGCCCATGGCATGGGGGACCTTGCCCTGGCAGGACCAGGCAAGGGGGACAGCTCAGCTCAGTCCAGGGCAGCCGGGAGCATTTCATCGGTTCTTTTTTCCCCCAATGAAAACTACGGCTTGAAAAGGAACTCTGCGTTATCCTGGGCACTTGGCACTGCCCGGGTTTAGGGTTATTCCCACCCTTTGTGACAGCCTTTTCTGAGCAGTGTTCCTCAGAAAGCGCTGTCCCCTCCTTCCCCATAGCAAGAGCCCTGGATCCTACAGCAACATGAGGTGGGGTGACTCACTCCCTCCCCCAGTGCTCATAGAAGAGAATGAAAATGACTGCACCCAATAGCATGCCTGTTTCATAACGGCCAAGATGACTTTGTGTTTCTTTTCCCTTAGAAAAATTACAGCTCTAATGTGCTCAGCAGTTGCTTGAGTTAATTCATTTTGTCTGTGTGGTTCTGTTATCAGTTTGACATACAATCAGGTTCGTTTATTTCTGAAAATTCTGTTTTAGGGCTTTTTTCCCCTATTCTTTTAAATTGCATAGAAAAAATAAGTACAGCCTGGTTCTAAAGTAAAAATTACAAAAAGGTAAGCTCAGAGAAGTCTCACCTCCTTCACTATCAATAGGAAACCATTTTCATTCCTTTCTAGTGTGTGTGTATATATATTTCTCCCTTATTTCTGACACCACAAGTAGCCTTCTGCATGTAACAGATTCCTTCACGTCTTGCCTCTTCCCTATAACAACTTGTCCAGAAGTCCCCCTGCCTGTTCTACCTGTACAGTGTGGCTCACTCCCCAGCCTTTGGCGGCATCACGTGGGCTTTGTATTTGTGGAGAGAGTCTTCAGTATCTTCCAGAAGGGTGATTGTTGGGTCCAAGGTCAATGCAAAGGAAGTTTTGTTTGATAGTGCAGACTCCCCAGCACTGTCAGGAATGTTTGTCCCCACCCCTCACCTTTTGGCATGTTACCTTTGAGCCAGTAGGATTGGTGAGAAATTTCTAAGTTTCTCATTGAAGTTTTAGTTTGCATTTTTCTTAGGAGTAAAATTGAACACCTTTTCATAAATTTAAATATCTTCTGTGTATCTTTCTGTAACTATTCCTATTATTTGACCTTTTTTAAAAAAACATTTGTTGAAGTATAATTGACTACTGTAAACTGCACATATTTGATAAATTTTGACTCGTCTGTACCCATGCTACCATCCCCACAATCAAGATGGTGACCACATCCGTGACCCAGAGTTTCCTTGTGCCTTTTGTTATCCCTCCCCCAGGAAGCTGCTGCTTAGCTCTCTCTCACTGTAAATAGTTTGCATTTTCTAGAATTTTGTGTAAATGCAGTTTGTTCTCACTTGGCTTCTTACTCAGCGTCACTATTTGGGTTCAGCCATGTCGTTGCATGTATCCGTAGTTCATTCGTCCTCACTGCTGAGTGTGTCCCCTTGTATGACTGGACCAGTTAGTCACTTGTTGACCTGTTGATGGCATTGGAGATGTTTCCAGTTTGGGACAATTACAAATAGAGCTGCTGTGAGCATTCACTTACAAGGCCTGCTCTCATTTCTCTTGGGTAAATACCAAGGTGAGGAAAGGCTGGCTCTATCGTGGGTCCACGCTTAACTTCTGAAGAACCTGCCAAACTGCCTTGCCAAGTGGCTGCATCATTTTGCATTACCAGCAGCCAGGAGTCTTGGTTCCCCCCATCTTTGCCAGCACATGACAGTGTCAATCTTTTTCATGTTCTCATCCCATGACATTGGGAGGGAATGTCACAATGTGGTCGTCTTTCTCTGAGGACTTAACGCTGCTGAGCATCTTTGACTGTGCTTGTGTGCTTTCCGTATTTCTTGAGTGAGGTGTCTCTTTGGATCTTCAGCTCTTTTTTTATTATTATTAAGTTCATAATAGTTTACATCATTGTGAAATTTCACTTGTACATTTCTTGTCATCACCATATAAATGCTGCCCTTCACCCTTTGTGCCCACCACCCCCCCTTCCCCTGGTAACCACTAAACAGTTCTCTTTGTCTGTGTGTTTATCTTCCACATATGAGTGAAATCATACAGCGTTTGTCTTTCTCTGTCTGGCTTATTTCACATAATTTCACATAATACCCTCAAGGTCCACCCATGTTGTTGTGAATGGTACGGTTTTGTCTTTTTTATGGCTGAGTAGTATTCCATCATATATATATAACACATCTTCTTTATCCATTCATCAGTCAGTGGGCACTTGGGTTGCTTCCACATCTTGGCTATTGTGAATAATGCTGCAATGAACATAGGGGTGCATGAGTGTCTTTGAATTGTTGATTTTGAGTTCTTTGGATTGACACCCAGTAGTGGGATAGCTGGGTCATATGGTATTTCTATTTTTCGTTTTTTGAGAAATCTCCATACTGTTTTCCATAGTGGCTGCACCAGTTTGCATTTCCACCGGCAGTGTGTGAGGGTTCCCTTTTCTCCACACCCTCTCCAACATTTGTTATTTTTACTCTTAGTGATTATAGCCATTTTAACAGATGTTAGGTGGTATCTTAGTGTAGTTTTGATTTGCATTTCCCTGATGATTAGTGATGTTGAACATCTTGTCATGTGCCTATTGGCCATCTGTATATCTTCTTTGGAAAAATGTCTGTTCATATCCTCTGCCCAGTTTTTGATTGGGCTGGGTTTTTTTGGTGGTGTTCTGTTGTGAGTTCCTTATATATTATGGAGATTAACCCCTTATCAGATATATGATTTGCAAATATTTTCTCCCAATTGGTGGGTTGTCTTTTTGTTTTGATCCTGGTTTCTTTTGCCTTGCAGAAGCTCTTTAGTCTGATGAACTCCCACTTGTTTATTTTTTCTTTTGTTTCTCTTGTCTGAGAAGACCCGGTATTTGAAAAGATCCTTTTTAGTCCGATGTCAAAGAGTGTCCTACCTATATTATCTTCCAGGAGTTTTATGGTTTCAGGACTTATCTTCAATCTTTGATCCATTTTGAGTTTATTTTTGTGTATGGCTTGAGACAATGGTCTACTTTAATTCTTTTGCAATTGGTTGTCCAGATTTTCCAACACCATTTATTGAAGAGATTATCTTTTCTCCATTGTATGTTCTTGGCAACTTTGTTGAAGATTAGCTGTCCATAGATGTGTGGTTTTATTTTTGGGCTTTCAGTTGTGTTCCATTGATCTGTGTGCCTGTTTCTGTGCCAGTCCCATGCCGTTTTGATCACTATGGCTTTGTAGTACATTTTGAAGTCAGGGACTGTGATGCCTCCAGCTTTGTTCTTTTTTCCCAGTATTGCTTTAGCAATTTGAGGTCTTTGGTTCCCGCATATGAATTTTAGAATTCTTTGTTCTATTTCCATGAAGAATGTCATTGGGATTCTGATTCGGATTGCATTGAATCTGTAGATTTTTTTGGGTAGTGTGGACATTTTAATTATGTTTATTCTCCTGACCTATGTGCATGGAATCTCTTTCCATTTCTTTATGTCATCATCTATTTCTTTGAATAATGTCATAGTTTTCATTGTATAAGTCCTTCACTTCTTTGGTTGAATTTATCCCTAGATATTTTATTCTTTTTGTTGCAGTTGTAAGTGGAGTTGTATTCTTGAGTTCTCTTTCTGTAAGTGCATTTTTAGAGTATAGAAATGCAACTGATTTTTGTGAGTTGATTTTGTACCCTGCAACTTTACTGTAATTGTTAATTATTTCTAATAGTTTTCTGATGGATTCTTTAGGGTTTTCTATATATATGATCATGTCGTCTG